TGGGCTGCCGGCGGCGGCGCTCGCGGGGCGCCCGAGCTGCGTTCCGGGACTTCTGCGGCTGCTCCGGGCCTGCGCGCGAGGCGCCGTCGCGGCAGAACTGCGCGCTCGGTTGCCGCGGCTCCACCGAGCGTCACCAGCCGCTGCGGGAAGGACGCTGCGCCCGGGAGGGCTGTTTGGACCCGGACCTCGTGAGAAACGTGGTGACCCGGTGTGCACAGACACGCGTGTTCGTGGGGTGGTCGCTCGCCTGGGGGAGATCTGCGCTTTTCTCATTGATTTTGCAGAAAACCCACTAATTTGATTTTCGGGCACTAATGGAGGTGACGCCTCTGATGGAAGCGTGCAGATACGTGTTTACGTTCAATGAAAGCGCAAACTCAGTTGAGGTTTTTGTTTTCGTGGTGCACTGGTGATCTGGGCTTAGAGGTGATTCCGAAGCACTTTGTCAGCGGTTCCCAGGCCGCGCAGGTGACGCATGTGTCCCTCTGAGATGCAGAGCCAGGGAGGGCCGAGGGCGCCAGCGACGCGGTCAGCCCGCCGCGTCCCTCCCGCAGAAGCGCCTGTCTGCAGCGGGCGTGTGCTGAGGCGCCGGGGTGCGCGGCAGACGGGCCGGTGGGGCCCTGACTGAGGCAGAGCCACACAACGTGGTCTGTGACGTGGACGCCGTTCGGCCGTGCAAGGCCGTGTCTGTGTCCCCAGATGTTAGCACTTGAGTATTCATTAATGCAGATGAGCGATGAGACCTTGTTGTCAAAAGACAGACCGAGTATTCTCTTCCTTTGGTGAAGGAGCCGTTGTCGTCTGCCTGGGACGTGCTGTGGGCCGCGGCGGGCGTTGCTCAGGGTCAGCCTGCCCCGCCCGGCCGCCCTGGTCCTGCGTGCAAACGCTGGGCCGATGGCAACACCTGCCCTCTGCTCCCCGGGCCGGAGTCCTCCCCGGGGCTGCCTGGTACCGTCCAGGCCCCACGTTCCCCCGGAGAGCACCCGTGGGGACAGGCACCCGGTGACAAATGTAAACCCAATTGCGGTTGTCCCCTGGGGGGACTGTTCTGTGGAGCTGGCGGAGGAGCTGCTGTTACCCCGTGTTTGCCTTCCTTTTGAGAGCGGTTTTTGTCTGTTTTCTCGCATCTTTCGTACCACGGAAGCTACGGTCTTATCCACTCCCACGTCACGGGAGAACAGGAGTGTGTTGAGGTCGCGTGTGAGGTCTGTACCGCTCCCAGTTGTCACGTCCCGCCCGTGGCCGACCGTCACGGCTTGCGTGCAGGGAGCCTTGCTCCGCACCTGGCCTGCCGCGGTTGTCCGAGGTTTGCTGTGGCTCTTGTTCCGTGGTGCCGACAGCTGCGAGTGAAGGAGGGACACGAGGGTGCGGCGCGCTCCATGGCGCCAGCCGCTGGGCATTTACTCTCTCGCTCTTTTTCCCGTGTGGTTAACGAACTTCAGCAGTGGCTGTGGATGACCAGGCGTGGCGAGGACGGCGGCGTGGCGTGGAGATGACTGATTGTTCTGAATTGTCTCTTCCGACTGTAGGTCATTGGTACGCCGCAGAGACCGGCAGCGCCAAACACTGTCGTGGTAGGAAGCCCACACACCCCCAACACTCACTTTGTCTCTCAGAGCCAGCCTTCCGACTCCTCACCTTGGTCTGCCGGGTGAGCACTTCCCTCCCGCCCTAGAGCCGTAGACCCGCTTGCAGGCCTCCCCCACCGCCCGCCGCGGCCACGCGTGGTGCGTGACGGCGCCATGGGCTCCCACGTATGTTGATCTCAGAGCTCCTCATCGAGTCCTCCCATCCGACTGGGGAACGTTCCGTGGCGCCCAGCACAGACTACAGTCAGGCACATGGCCTTGGGCACGGAGCCAGGCCCGCCCGCCCCGTGGCGTTTGGGGTGGCAGCTGCTCTTGGCCAGGGAGGGCCTGGGACACGCCACGTTCCCTTGTCCGCACCGGGGACACCTAACCTTGCCTGGGCCTTGGGTCACGGCCCCACCGGATGGTCCCAGCACAGCCGCTGCTTCCACTGAAGCAAAGTCTGACGTGGAAATGCTTTACTCCCAGGTCAGCGGTGTGTCTGTCCATACAAACACGCACACACACGGCTGTAACCCATGTTTGTATCGGTTCTAAAGCAAAAGTCGTCAGTGCCCAGACTCAGCCAGGGAGACATCTGGCCTTTCTTCTTAACGTGGTCACTGGACGGAGGTCGCAGGTCGGAGCTCTCGTCCCGCTCTGAGCGCACCTGGCGGTTTGCACCTGTGTCAGGCGGCCGTTGCAGTCTAAGCATTTGCCTTACGAAATCACAGCCTGCTGAAATTTGCCCCTAGAACTGCCAAGTTCACACTAACACGTCTCCTAATTCCTGATGCTGGTGGCCACCATTAGAAAAGCAGAGCTTAATGTACTGACACGTACCAGATATTTGCTGATCTTGCCCACCTGGGCATCTGCCCTGTTTTCTTGGCATTTGAAAACACAGAGGTGTGATCTGGCCTTGGAAATGCTCAGTTTTTGGCCTTTAAAAGCACTGGGCAGCCGTCCGCATCCTCGGGGCGCAGGTGCTGGGCGGAGCCGCCGTCGGTGCTGGCCTACGCAGTCCTGGCCTGTCGGGGGACGTGCTGCACCTGGGCTCGGCCCCTCCACGTAGCTGGTTAGACGCTTGAGGGGAAAGTGCGGTCGATTCGCGGCTGAGTGAGCCGCCAGTGCTCACAGCCATTTATGTTTCCCTTTGTGTCTCGAAGGAAGCGCAACAGGAAGGGCGAGAAGAACGGCAAGGGCCTGCGGCACTTCTCCATGAAGGTCTGCGAGAAGGTGCAGAGGAAGGGGACCACGTCCTATAACGAGGTGGCCGACGAGCTGGTCGCGGAGTTCAGCGCCGCCGACAACCACATCTTACCCAACGAATCGGTGAGCGTGCAAGGCCAGCGCTGGCGGGACAAGACCGCATGGCGTAGTTCACAGGTCTTAAATTTGAAACAATTGCAAATGCACAGAAAATTCCAAATACAGCAAAAAAGAATTTTTCCTGACCCGCTGCGGGCGCATCACTGGCGAGGTGCCCTGCGTGTGAGCCTGCGGGCCTGGCTCCGCCTTCCCGGGCCCACTGCAGGGATGCCCTTCGCGCCCCACAGACGGGCTTGGGGCAGCCCCACCCGGTCCCGACCCTGCTGGACTGGGCGGTTCTGTGGGGACGTGTCTGGAGTCGTGGCTCCGTGGGAAGAGCTAACGACATACCTCTGCCGTAGGTCATAGGTGCGCGTGGCCTAGAGCGTACGGTGTTAATCTGCAAATGTTCTGCGTCATTTGGACAGTTGACTCCGTCTCCCCAGGCTTACGACCAGAAGAACATAAGACGCCGGGTCTACGATGCCTTAAACGTGCTGATGGCCATGAACATCATCTCCAAGGAGAAGAAGGAGATCCGGTGGATCGGCCTCCCCACCAACTCGGCTCAGGAATGTCAGAACCTGGAGGTGCGCCGCCCGCTCCGCGCCGTGCACGCGCGGATAACCCCGTCGGTCATTCGCAGGGCCTCGGCTGCGAGGACCCCGGGTGGGGCCGATGCGCAAGGTCCCCGCATCCTTGGTCCCTGGTGTCACGACTGGCGTCGGGCGCTGTTTGCCCCCGTCCTGGCCCGGCTCTGCAGATGCCGGCTGCCGGGGAGGGAGCGCGGCCGACCCACTAGAGCATATCAAACTGCAGCGTGGGTTAATTCTGGATCCTAGTTTGTGGGATCTGTTAAAAAAATATAACAGCCCAAGCCAAGACACGGGGGCGGGGAGGTGTAGTGTGGAAGCAGAAGAGAAACTCACCTGTGTCTGAGCATGTGCCGTGTTCCACGTACATGTGTGTCCTGCGACTAAGTTCAAGGTGAGCCTCGGGATGCTGTGAATGCAGATTTTACACGTGCAGAGGGGACAGGTGGGATGACTTCTTGCGTCGATGGTTTGTCTTTCAAGGTGGAGAGACAGAGAAGACTTGAAAGAATAAAACAGAAACAGTCTCAACTTCAAGAACTTATTCTACAGGTAAGAAAATACCTGCCTGGGAGGTGACTTTTGTTCTACTAATTCAGTTTTGCAGCACCCGCCTGCGGCAGGGTGTGCTCCTGCGTGGTGAGTCGAGTCTCTGTTTGAGATTCTGGGTGTGGGTTTCCGTGCACTCAGGAGCTCACCTCGCGCGGGTGGCAGGCACCGTGGCCCCTCTCTTGGGAGAGGTGTGTGCGTCCCTGGGCTCTGGCGTCTGGGTGGTGGCATCTGAAACACGCCCTCCGAGAGGCACAGCCCACACTGAGTGCCCAGCGTGTCTGAAACGCTGAGGAACCCGCCATCCGGGCTGAGCCCCAGTGGGCACCTGGAGGGGCGCAGGCTCCTCGGAGCTGGGGGGCGCGCTGCTTGTGGCGACTGCCGGCCCCGTGCCGACGGCTGCTTCCTTCCCAGCAAATCGCCTTCAAGAACCTCGTGCAGAGGAACCGGCAGGCGGAGCAGCAGGCCAGCCGGCCGCCCCCGCCCAACTCGGTCATCCACCTGCCCTTCATCATCGTCAACACCAGCAAGAAGACGGTCATCGACTGCAGCATCTCCAACGACAAGTATGTCGTGGACGGACGGGAGTTTTAGGGGAGTTAAAACCTGTTAGGATTTTTATTAGGACAAGTTTTAAAATATGGCACAACAGCTGAGGTTTGCAGACTGTCAGGGGCTGGCGAGCGTGTGCCCTGGGGCATGTCCTGCCTGTCACGTGTGCACAGTGGTCTGTGCTGTGACCTGAGCCCCTCGTGCTGTTTATTTCTGAGTGTGGTTTCTTATTTTTTTTGAGACAGAGTCTCACTTTGTCACTTGGCTAGAGTGCCGTGGCGTCAGCCTCGCTCACAGCAACCTCCAACTCCTGGGCTCAAGCCATCCTCCTGCCTCAGCCTCCCGAGGAGCTGGGACTACAGGCATGCGCCACCATGCCCGGCTAGCTTTTTCTATGTATTTTTAGTTGTTCAGCTAATTTCTTTCTATTTTTAGTAGAGACGGGGTCTCGCTCTTGCTCAGGCTGGTTTCGAACTCCTGAGCCCAGAGTGCTAGGATTACAGGCGTGAGCCACCGCGCCCGGCATGAATGTGGTTTCCTGACGAGGCTTGGTGGCGGGGGCCCCGCGGGGCTGTGTCCTCTGGGAGACCCCGTCCTCCACCTTCCGGGGCTGCCTCTCCCCGCAGGTTCGAGTACCTGTTCAATTTCGACAACACGTTTGAGATCCACGATGACATTGAGGTGCTGAAGCGCATGGGGATGGCCTGTGGGCTGGAGTCCGGCAGCTGCTCCGCGGACGACCTCAAAGTGGCCAGGAGCTTGGTGCCGAAAGCTCTGGAACCGTACGTGACAGGTCAGTGGTGCCCCTGGCGAGGCTGCGTGGCTGGAGTGACGGCCCCAGGCCCAGTCGACAGCCCGTCCTCCTCGCCCCCGCGAGCCAGCGTGCGGGACCAGGAGCAAACTCCAGGGGCGGGGCCGAGGGGCGGGGCCGCCGGCGCCTCGCCTGTGTGGACCCAGGGATTGCCACGCGTGAGGGGTGGTGCGGAGGAGCTGCTGAGGCAGGTCAGGTTTCACCTCGAAGGGCGGCCAAAAGCGGGAGAAAGTGAAATTCTTCGTGGAGTGTAGTTGGATCAGCGGATTCCCCCCAGAGCGAGCTGGTTGGCCCCTAACAGTAACCAGGAAAAGCATTCAGGGTTGTCGACGCTCTGCGGCTGTGGGCACCGCGTGGCGTGGGAGGCGTCTGTTCCGTGAGCTTCTGCTTCCCGCGGCTCCGAGGCCTCAGGAAGCCCGGCCACAGCACGGAGCGTGGCGTCGTGCTGAGAACAGTGACGGACGTCCCCTCCGCTGCCCCTGCCTCTGCGTCCCTGTCCCTGAGAGGGTCGGGGTGCCTCCTGGAACCCGGAGGCGCCTCCGCCGGCCCAGAGCGAGGGAAACCCGGCCCCACGACCCCTGCGGGCAGGACACCTGCCCACAAGCCTGCGCCCCCGTCTGCCCTCAGTGGGCCCGTCACACGGGACGTGGAGAAGAGTCCCTGCACAGAGGCGCTCGCCCACCTCCGTGTGACGGTGACGTGACACCGGTGTAGCAGCACGTGCTGCACTCACCAGCAAGCATACGTGTTTCAAGGTCTCTCGTGCTTCCTTAGAAAAGACAGGCTGTGCGGCCGCAGACTCACGCCCTGCTCTGCCGCGGGGCACGCACCAGACAAGCCCGCGGTGTCCGGGAGCTGCCGCCGCCCGTCCCGGGTGCGCGATTGTTTCTCTGCCGCTCACTTTGTTCCTTCTCCTTTCAGAGATGGCTCAGGGATCCATCGGCAGCGTCTTCCTCACGACGGCGGGTTCCACGTCCAATGGCACGAGGCTCTCTGCCAGGTGACGCGCGGGGCGGGGAGGCGGCCCCAGCTGTGCGTGGCCCTGGGCCGCTGCCCTGCTCAGAACGTGGCCGGTCTGCTGAGGCCACCGCAGCTGCCCTGGGCCTGTCCCTGTGTTGGCTCCGTCCCCCTAAAAGTTAAAAGTGATGCACGGTTTTTATTTCTTTGAAAAGCAGCGCCCAGTAAAGTGGGGCGAGAACCACCCGAACACCACTGCCCCGCACGGCCCTTGCAACGAGCGTTTCTAGGTTTCCCTCCGTTTTTCAGAACATACTTGAGGTCCTGGTTTATATACGGTTCTGTGCTTTTTCCACCTTAGAGTCTGTGGTATGTGTTTTCCCACATTATTGAAGGAATTTTATTATTGAAGTAAAAGTACGTTTAATCTTTGACCTTGCGGTCCCACAGAGCAGGATGACGTCCTTAGGTTTTTAAAGATAAATATGAGACAATTTTATAGTAGATATCAACGAAACGATGGTTTTATTAAGTTTTATATTTCATTGTTACATAATTGTCTTAATCCTAAATACTAAAAAAATGTTTAATTTTATGAAAGATAGGAAATTAGTAACCTATAGGTCCAGGTCATAGGGGCTGATCTCTAAGCCCAGTGTGTTCACGCCCTGCTGGAATGTTCTGCCGCCATCCTAGCGCGTCAGGGAGGGCGCGTGCGGGGCAGGATCCAGGTGCCGCTGGCCGTAGGACCAGCGAGGCGGTGACGTGAGCCAGGACTCCGCGTGGCGCCTGCGGGTGGCGCCCTCCCTCTCAGTTCTTCATCCCCAGCTATGTGTGCGAGAGTAGGGCTGTTCCATGGGGTGGAATCTGGCTGTCGTCAGACTTTATCTTCACATGATCCTTTTTATTGACGGAACTTTTGAGACTTGTCAGTGGAGACGAAGCCAGTACCATTTCAGAAGAAAAACCCGTTTTCCCAGTGGCAGGATGTGACAGTTTATGAAAGGGCGTTTAGGTGGTTCCCAGTTACGAGGAAAACGAGCAGCTTCGTGGCTGAAGTTCTCGCTGTTTGCGCGTCATTTTGGGTGTTTCCCAGATGCCGCGTTGCTCCATCAGAAAGCACGTTCGCTGGTTTTACCGTGCAGGGTTAATAAATACCTGTGAAAGGTGTTAACCTGTGTGCCCGTGGTTTGACGTTAGTGTTTAGTGTTTGCACACGCTCTCCGCTCTGGCCGGCAGCGGGCTCTCGTGGTGCTGCTGACCCCACGCGCTCCGTCCACGCGGCCAGAGCGGACGCCCTGCCTGCCGCCCCGCCCCACGCGCTCCTCTCCCTGCCCCGTGCTGGTGGGGAGCGGAAGTCCTGGGAAGAAGGTTCTGGGGTTTCCAGCATGTGCCCTTGGCGGTTTTGTCTCTGAGGGTGAGTGAGGACTCACCGTGGGGCTCTGCCGCCGTCCCCGTTTCAGTGACGGATTCGAGACGATGGTCTGGGCGGGGCGTGGACAGATGGCCTGGTGGCCGGCGCGGGTTCTGTGCCCTGGGTGTGATAGGAGAGACCCCGCCAGGCTGCGCCGTGGCTCGGCCCGACGAGGCAGGGGCGCCACTGACCTCGCACCGGCCCTGTCCTTGCAGTGACCTGACCAACGGCACGGACGGGACACTGGCCACCAGCTCCAATGGGTCTCAGTACAGCGGCTCCAGGGTGGAGACCCCGGTGTCCTGCGTCGGGGAGGATGAGGACGAGGATGACGAGTTCAACGAGAACGAGGAAGACTGACGTCCGCGCAGTGTCCTCGCGGCCCTCCGGCTCCATCTGAGGGAAGAGAAACTTTTTAATGTGGGTTTTCTGTTTCTTTTTGGCCTCCTCCCAAGAAGACGCCGGTAAGCTGTCAGTTGGAGACGCTCCTCCGACGAGCGGGGCTGCTCCCGCGGGTCTGCGACGTGCCTGACGCCGGCGCGCGGCCCGGAGCCTCTTGCTACTCCTTAGGGTTTTGTGTTTTCATTTTCTTCCCTTTTTTTTTTTTTTTTTAAATTCAGAGTTCATTTTTGCCTCTTAACAATTCTTGCTGAGTTTGCTGAGGAAACTGTGCTCCATCCACGTCGATGACAGTAAAGCGCTGTGCTGTCGTGCGCACCACATGCATCTGTTTGCAGGTGTCTGACGGCGCTGGCGCCCAGCGAGGCTCGTGCCGAGCTTGCCGTGTGGATCGTGCGGTGCCCGAGAACCACGCAGATAGCGGAGCTCCGTGTCCAAACAATAAGCACCGTACGTTGTATCGTGACTTTATTTTCCCTTAAATTATATTGACTGTCGAGATTCCATCAAGTTTATACACCTTTTCCCCCTCTCTGTATTGCAGCAACAAATTGCAAAGTGCTTCTTTCGTTTGTTTTGTTTTGTTTGGTAAGAGTTTATTGCCACGCTGGCGCAGCTGTGGAGACTGTCTGGAAGGCTTGGAATGGTTTATTGCTTATGGTAAATTTGCCTGATTTCTTACAGGCAGCGTTTGGAAACTTTTTATTATATAGTTGTTTACATGCTTATGAGTCTATCATTTAAAGACATGTACCGAAACAAACGTATTTGTTTCGTAAGCATCTTCCTGTAATCTATTATAAAGTTGAAATTAAATATAGAGAATGTTTTAACAGTTTTTTAACTCAAAATTTGTCAATCATTTTTAATAGTTCTTTTTTTATAAAAAGAAAAAGGAATTTAAGGACAGGCAGTTGTCTCTGTTAAAATTTATTCACAAAAACCATTAACTGCACAGTTGCTGTTGGCTGCCTGTTCTAAAACGATAGTCTTTTTATTGAAACACAGACTTTTCTGTAATATTTTATGGAATATAAAGAGACTTTAATTGTTTGACTTGTTTAACTTGGCACTGTTAGTTTTTATTAATAAAACGCGCATGGGCATTTTAAACAAGCTCTGTGTTTCTCTAATTCAGGGTTATTGTCGAGAACTCCTCCTGTCTGCTCATCCCGCGTCACACCCAGCCCGGGAGCGGCACCTGGGGCAGCCCTTGTCCCCTGTGGTCGGGTCTGGAGCTCGCCCTGCAGGCAGAGGTGGTCAGAGGAGGCCCTGGGGCCACGGGCGTCCTTCCTCCTGGGTGCTCCTGTGCTGTTCCACGGCGTCCACACTGAGACAGGTTTCATAGGTTTGGCTCTCAGAAGAAGGAAAAGGTCGCGAGAGGATTCTGGGAGGTGGCAGATAAGGAGACCAGGAGTCCATGTCCCCATCTAGACCTGCCCCACGGCAGCATCTGTCTTTTGGAGCTGGGCTGTAACTGGCCGTCTGTCGAAGGCTCCCAGCTTCCATCTGAGGGCTTGGTCAGTGCATCAGGATGAGTCTGGTCAATTCCGGCTGCATCTCCCTTCACCGGTCCCTTTGTTTTTCTCCTTCCCCTTTTGGGAGCCAAATGTTGACGAGTGGGACATGCACAGCCAGCCGTGCGCCTGCCCAGGGAGAGTCTTGGGATAGACCAGAGAAGACCCCAGGTTTGCAGCCCAGGCCAACCATTGGCACAGACAAGACCACAGCCGTCAAAAACCCAGGAAGCAAAGCCAGCAATGCCTGGGGGGCGGGAGCCGGCTTTTCATTACGGCAGCAGCAGATCAAACCTCCAGTTCTCAACAGAAAGTCGCGAGAGCGTGGCCCATTAAGGGGAAGAACAGATCAACGGAAACCGTCTCTGAAACAGACCTGGTGGCAGATACATTAGACACACTTTTAAACAACTGTCTTAAAGATGCTCAAAGAGGTTAAGGATGATGTGGAGAAAGTCAAGAAAGTGATACATGATCAAAATGTCAATATCAATAAAGAGATAGAAAACCTAAAAAGACACCCAAAAAATCTGGAGCTGCAAAGAGCAGTAACTGAAATAAAAATACGCTTGAGCGATTCAGAGGCAGAACAGCTAATTTGAAGATGGGAAGATGGAAGTAATTGAGTCTGAGGAACAAAAGGGTACGGAAGGAAAGTGACGGGGGCTGAGGGACCCGTGGGCGGCCACCCAGCCGGCGGGCGTCAGGACGAGAGGAACAGGAGGGAGCAAGGAGAACATTTAAAGATACAGTGGCCGAACGTGCACCAAGTGTGATGAAAGATGTGAATATAAACATCCAGGCACCTCTGTGAACTCACAGAGACACGTAATTAAACTTTCAAAAGACGGAGAGTCCTGAAAGCAGAAGAGGAGCCGCTCGTCACACACGAACGATCCCCGTAAAATCGTCTGCAGATCTTTCCCAGAAACCGAGGCCACGGGGCAGTGGCCAATCCGTTCAAAGCGCTGGAGGAGGCAGAAGTCTGTCCTCCACGCGTCCCATGCCCAACAAAACCGTTCTCACAAGCGAGGCATCGAGACATCCTCGGACAAGCGGCAGCCGCGGGCGCCTGTTGCCACCAAGCCTGCCCTGCCAGGACCTTCGGAGAGTCCGCGGCGCGAGTGCGGACACGGCAGCAGCTCGCGGTCCTGTGGGCAAGGGAAGGGCAAGGTCTCAGTGGAGGTGAACGCGGGGAAATCATAGAAGCCGGTATTTTGAGAACAGCTTGCAGCCCACTTTTGTTTTCCACATGATTTACGAGACTAATGCATTTTTTAAAACCTCAGTTATTAGTCTGAAAGGTAGTATTACCATAACTTTGGTTTGTAATTCCACATTTTGTTTTCTAGGTAATTTAAGAGATGAATTCACTTAAAGGAGTTAATTGTGAAGCAAAAACTATAGCATAATTGCAGTGAGAAATGGTTCTTTAATTGTAGGAGATTCCGATACACTACTCTTAACAGTGGATCTCAGGAAATGGAGTCTATGATAAACCCACTAGATCTCACAGACGTGCGTACCCAGCTCACTCCACCCAGCAACAGCCGTGGAGAGCATCCAGCACACAGATGAGTCTAGATTTGAAGGGCGGATACCACACGAACTTTCTTTCTGACCACAAACAGATGAAGCTACAAGTCAGTAACAGAAATAAAACCGGAAGTTTCACAGAGCTGTGGAAATGAAACAGCCCGCTCCTAGATAAAGAGTCAAAGAGGAAAGCTTAAGGGAGAGGAAAATGAAAACACAACATGCCTAGATTTTTTGAGATGCAGCAAAAGCAGTGTTGATGGGCAGATTCGTAGCTATACGCCCTACGTGTAAAACAAATCTCAAATCAACAACCTAACTTTACACGTTCAGGAACTAGAAAAAGACCGAAGTAAACCACAGCTAACGGAACAAAGGAAATATTAATGAAGATTAGAGCAGACATAAACAGAGAATAGAAACACCGGAAAAAAATCAATGAAACAAAAGGTGGTGTCAGAAAGGATGGATAAAACAGACAGACCTTTAGCTGGAGGTACTAAGAAGACAGGACTCTTACTAAAATCAGGAATGAAAACGGGGACATTCTTCCCAGCTCTGCAGAAATAAAGATTATGGGAGAATAATACGAAAAATTATACATCAATACATTTATAAATCTCGATGAAATGGACAAATCCCTAAAAACAACCTGAATAGACGTTAGTAGACTTGTAACCAGTAAGGAGACTGAATCAGTTCTAAAACATCTCCCAGCAAGAAAATGCTCTGGACCTAATGGCTTCGCTGGTAAATTCTATCAAACCTCTAAAGAATAACTAACAGCAGCCCTCAACCTCCTCCAGAGAATTGTGGAGGGAACACATTCTAGCTCATTCTGTGAGGCCACCGGGACCTTGCGACGCAGCCTCAGACGCTACACGTAAGAGTACAGACTGGTGTGCCTTGTGAACACTGCTGGAAAACCCTCAGCAAAGCTCTGTGCCTGCCCCTGCCTTTGGGGGACCCCTCCCCCCAGCTCTGTGCCTGCCCCCGCTGCTGGGGTCAGAGGGCAGGGCAGTGGATTCTGCAGGGTTAGGGTTAGGGGAGGCGGCTGCTGAATTCCAGTCAGCAAGGGGAGGGAGGGGCCGCGGGTCATTGGCGGGATGCGCTGCGGGGGCTTGGGTGGGGCGCAGGTGTGTGAGGTGGAGGTCTGGCGGGATGTCCGACTGTCCTCGTCGCTTTGCCACCACTTCTCAAGTAGTGTGACCTCTGACCTTTGATGTGACAGATGTTTCTGAGGCTGCCCGGGTGTCCCTCAGGGCACACACGGCAGAGGACCGCATCGTGGGCCTCCCCTCCCCCTTCCCTTGGACCCTCCCTCTGCCCCGGCTCCCTGCACCCCTGCGGGCACCGCGCTGCCCCGCTTCTCGGCTCACTGAGAAGAGACTCTCGGAGGACTCCCCAGAGCACAATGCAACTTGAACTTCGAGAGTCCTTGGCACTTAGCACGAGCTTCCTTCCCGTCCCGCAAGTCCCACCTGCGCCGGAGGTCGGGGCAGACAGGACCGGCCCCTGGACCGGCCGAGCCCAACCCGGACAGCGCGGGAGCCAGCGTGGGAGCCGGCCCAGGCGCAGCCGGACAGGACGTGCAGGCGGCCCCGCGGGCACCAAACCGCGTCCCGCCTGGTGCGTCCCTGTCCCGAGTGTGAGGATGTCACGTATGTGTGCAGAAGCCTCCCACTTGTCGCCGTACAGATGCCTGCGGTGTGTGTACATGTGGAAGGTGCTGGCGTGCGGCGTCAGTGAACACCCGCTGACAGGCTGGCGCAGCGTCTCGCGTGGAGAACATCTGAGACTGAGTCTCCGCCGCACAGCTGCCCGATAAGCACGTTGACCTACTCAACCTTACAAGACACTGCGAGGTTTCATTCTTGCCCCAGAGGCCGGTTTTTGTCGAGCGTCTGTGCTGGTCGTGGGTCGGCAGATTTCGTGTGCTGGGTGCTGTGTGGCTCTGCCGGCTCGAGACGTGGGGCCTCGCCCGGGGTTGGGTGGGAAGCCCGGACTGTCCCCGAGAGCAGGGGGAACGTTCTCATTTTGGGTTTTTTGAAAGGGGGTAGAGCTGCAAACTTAGCGCTCTGTATCTGGAAGAAAGATGTGCCCTCACTTAAAAATTAGTGTCTGTGGCCGGGCGTGGTGGCTCACGCCTGTAATCCTAGCTCTCTGGGAGGCCGAGGCGGGTGGATTGTTTGAGCTCAGGAGTTCGAGACCAGCCTGAGCAAGAGCGAGACCCCGTCTCTACTAAAATTAGAAAGAAATTATCTGGACAACTAAAAATATATAGAAAAAATTAGCCGGGCATGGTGGCACATGCCTGTAGTCCCAGCTCCTCGGGAGGCTGAGGCAGGAGGATTGCTTGAGCCCAGGAGTTTGAGGTTGCTGTGAGCTAGGCTGACGCCACGGCACTCTAGCTGGGGCAACACAGTGAGACTCTGTCTCAAAAAAAAAAAAAAAAAAATTAGTGTCTGTGTTTAGTTTTAAATTCCACCAAGTCAGTGACATCCCCGCTGCCTCCCCCCTCACCTGGGGGAACCGAGTGTTCTCAGGTGACGACCCTGAGGCACGCGGTTTCCATAATTTCCCTGACTTGCAATCGAAACTATAAAAGGGGATTTTTAAAGGAGGAAGTGTTTCAATTTTAGTTTTTCTCCCATGTCAGTAAAGACATGACTCTCACATAGAATAAGAGTAATTTTAATGTATTTTATGATTATTAAATACAACTTAGGAGTCGCATGTTTAAAAGCAAGCATTCAGCACATGCGTTATCACAAGCCGTGTTTCGCATCAGGGCACGAACGGTGCTCGCGTCGCGTGGTCGTGGTTCGTACTGAACGTGGAGAGATGATGCCCAGACAGGGATGTCTGGACGGGAAAAGGTGAATTTCCTGGTCTTGTTGGTCAGGTCGTTCCTGCCTTGGTCACCGCGTCAGCCCAGCATCTGTCGTGGCTGCAGGCTCTGTCTGGACATGGAGGGCTTGATGAGCAGGAGCTGGCAGCTGGGGCAAGCACTTGACACGCAGGTGCTTTCCTGGGGCCGCCACTCGGACCGCGGCATCGTCGTCGCAGAACGTTTCCGAGACGACCGGGCAGGATGCTGCAGGCAGGTGGAGCCGCCCTGCGGGTTCCAGACTCTCACTTCTGGATCTTGAGCTTGAACTCCACTTTCCCTTCGTACGGGTCATGGGGATTGTCGAAAGTCACGTGCTCTGCGATGATCTTGCACACTATGGAGACCTCCGTGTTCTTGGGGACGTTGAGGAACTTCGCGGCGACCAGGGGGTTGGTGTAGTGGGGCTGAAGTGTGGAGAGGAGGGGTGTTTCACAATCTCCACGTCAAGCAAAGAAGCCAGACCGGGAGACGGGCCGCGTGCTGTCTCTGCTGAGCCCGGGACTTGCGAGAGAACGAGGTTTGTTTGTGCCAGGAGGATCGGCCCCGAGGGGGCAGGCGATACCGAGTGTAGATGCAACTTCAAACCGTATCGGGTGAAGATTAGTGTAAAAACAGGGCAGAAAAGGAGGTGCTGTGGAGGAAGGCTCTGAAGTGGATGTGCCGTTGTTTGAAAGGGTTCGGGAAGCCCTCGGGAAGTAAAGGGGTGAGCTTTGACATGCGTGTGTTGCACAAGGGAAACGTGTTTGCAGGTGGTTCCAGGAACCCGGGTTTGGGAAACACCCAGATCGTTAACCGGTCAGGACTGGCTGTGCCAGGCCTTTGTCTTGTTTTTATAGATGACAATGTTTGTTGCTTCCCTTTTGCCGAATGTGAGACAGTGGGGGGCGGCGGCCAGGGTGGACCTACCTGCGCCTTCTTCCCGTAGTAGGGGAAGTAGTGCAGGCTGAAGGTGCCGTTGGGCGGGGAGTACTCCACCTGCAGCGGCTCGGCGTCCTTGGGGGGCGTGTCCTGGGCAGGAGAGACGGGAGTCAGGTGGGAGCCGGTGTGTGCCCCGTGGTCTGTGCTCACGTGTGCGTGCGTGTGTGTGTGTGCATGTGTGCCTGTGCGTGCATGTGTGCCTGTGTGTGCATATGTGCCTGTGCGTGCATGTGTGTGTGCATGCATGCGTGTGCATGTGCGTGTGTGCTGTGTGTGCATGTGCCTATGTGTGCATGTGTATATGTGCGTGTGCATATATGTGTGTACATGTGTGCGAGCACTGCGTAGGTGGTCACATAACACCTTATTGCATGATTGGCGTAAACCAGATTCAATCTTTATAATCAGCACTGAGGCCCCATTAGGGATGTAATTTGCAAGTGTGCAGAACACCTGGTGGCATCTCAAGCTCACACCTTGAGCCTTTGACGCCTCGGTGGGTGATGTGGGCAGGTAAAGCTTGCTCCCCACGTGCAGGGGTGGAGGCAGACAGATCGCACGCACCGGTTGGCCAGAACTGGTTAAAAGTCTGTGTGACTCTCTGGGGTAAGTAGAGATGTGTTTTCATGAGATTTATGTCCTTTTGTTACCGGAATCGGGGAATTATCCAGCGGGTAGCTTACGTTTATCAAAGCATAGATGAAGGGTTCTTTGGCATCTGTTAAAATCTCAAGTCAGCTACACGTGTGGCTGAAGTGAGTAAAAAAAAAAAAGAAAAAAGAAAAAGGAAACCAAAACAAACCCGCGAAGCCCGCACAGAGAATAGAGGCTGTGAGGGACGGGCTGTTTCTCGCTGTCCGTGTGCGTCAGCGAGCCACGTTACAAAACCTCTGGTTTGGGCATAATGGTGAAAACAAACCTCAGAAAATATTTAGTGAAAACAAATTTAGATTCTTAAAATGTTGTTCTTAAAAAGTATCATTGGCTGGGCGTGGTGGTGGCGCCTGTAGTCCCAGCTGCTCGGGAGGCTGAGGCGGGAGGATCACTCGAGCCCAGGAGTTGGAGGCTGCGGGGGGCTGTGATGACGCCACTGCACTCCAGCCTGGGTGAGAGCGAGCCCCTGTCCCTAAAAAAAATTTTTTTTTAAAAGTACTTTTGAAAAAAACTCGAATCGTTTTTAGTAGCATAATTCACAATTGCAAAGATGTGGAAACAACCCAAGTGCCCATCAATACATGAGTAGATTAATAAAATGTGGTATCTGTATACCATGGAGTACTACTCAGCCTCAAAAAACAGTGGAGATCTAGCACCTCTTATATCATCCTGGATGGAGCTGGAGCCCATTCTACTAAGTGAAGTCACAAGAATGGAAAAACAAGCACCACATGTGCTCACCACCAAACCGGTATTAACTGATCAACACCTAAGTGCACGTATAGTAGCAACATTCATCGGGTGTCGGGCAGGTGGTAGGGGAAGGGGGAATGGTATAATCACACCTAGTGGGCGCGGTGCGCACCGTCTGGGGGACGCACACGCTTGTAGCTCTGACTCGGGCGGGGCAAAGACAGTTTATGTAACCAGAGCGTTTGTACCCCCTTAATACTCTGATATGTATATATACAAAAGCCAAAAAAAGAAACAAGCTGGAATTAACCCGAGATTAATGCCAACTCTCAGCAGTCTGTATACTAAACACAATTAAACAATTATAGCTGTTGGTGACCTGAAATATTTTTGTAAAGAAGAAAACAAAAAACCAAAAATATTAACAGAAACAAAACAATGCATAGCACGCTGGCTTATCCACATGCCCCGAGTGTTCAGAGTGTGTCAGTGACACGCTGTCCCAGACGCGCTCGGAAGCAGAGCAGAGCCCGCAGGCTGGCAACCACGTTCGCAGAGACGTGCGGACTGCCCCCGCGGCCCTGGCCCACTTGCGCGTGGCGCGCGGCACTCACCGCAAAGGCGCAGTCCACTCTGGGGGCCGAGCTGTTGCTGGGCAGGAACTTGACTATCTGGAAGGGAAAGGCCTCATGTGCCCTCCCGTGGGGGGTGCCTGGCTCGCCCCCCGGGTGTTCCTGCGTCTGGGGGTGGCTCCCCTTTGGGCTGGGCCAGGTGGGCCTGGCCCCACGGCCCCGCCCAGGCCGTGGTGGGTGCTGACCTGCGGAGCTCGCCCTGGCCCAGGTCTTCAGCCTGCCCCTCCCGGCCCCACCCCGGGCCCTGCCGGTGCCCCGCTCCCCGCACCCCTACTGTGTCCCCAGCCAGCCCCTCCTGTGCTCTGAGAGGGTATCCTCATCAGAGCCTCCCTGCTGGGCCGTCCTGAGCCCCAGGCTGACCGCAGGGGCCTGGGACGCGAGCTGCACATCAGCCTCTTACGGTGGGAAGTGCGCAGTATAGAGGGGCGAGTCCCACCCACGGGTGGGCTCCTGGAGGGGGGACCTGCGTCCCTTGCCGGGCCGGTGCCGGCCCCACCAGGCCCTGGCTGGACATCTCCTGCCCTGCACCCGGCGTGGCCAGACCGGCTGTGCCTTCCCTGTTTGCTCACAGCGGGTGGAGCCGGGCCTGGACACAGCCTGGGCCCAGGTTGGATGCCCCCTCCGGGGCCTGGCGTCCCACAGCCGGTGTTGACGGCTCACGTGGGGCCCACGTGGCAACTGGGTGGTCGTGCCTGAGTGGATGGCCCTGAGTTTGTATTAAGAGCCAAACGTGGCGGGTGTGTGCTTGGCCAGGGGACGGTGGGGTGGGGACAGCCCCAGGGGCTGGGGTCCGGCTGTCCGCCTGGCAGGCCCTAGACAGGACGCCACGGGCCCCGTCGCGGATGGTGGCGTGAGGGAGTGGGAGTCTGGACCGCGTCTCCGCAGGAGACCCCTCGATACGCACCCTGTTCATTTTAATAATGAAACACGGCTTTCCTTCTTCAAAGCCAAAGTCAGGGTCCACCAGGCCGGAGCAGTTCTGCAGCATGTCTGCCGTGAACTTGCAGGAGAACTTGGTGTGGTTGGGGGCCCCGAAGCTCTCCTGGAAGAAGTACTGCTCCGAGGTGCAGTTGATGTTGTCCTCTTGGGCGGCCGGAGAGTAACCTGCGGGGCAGACACACCTGCCAGCCCCGCCCGCCCTGGTCCGCAGCAGCCCCCGGGGTCCCCGGAGAGTGGGGAGGCCTCAGGCCCCCGAGGGTGATTTTCTCAGGAAATTGATCGCAGCTGCGGCGCCGTCGAACCCGTACCTGCCAGGAAGGCGTGGAGCGTGCGTGTGAGGTCTGCCCAGGTGCTGTTGTCAGAGATGTTGTAGAAAACCTCGAGGCCTTTCTCCCCGTAAACATCTGGCCTTAAGGTCACCCCTAGAGAGAGAGAATGTCCCACTTTTCATGTGGTCTCTCCAAATATCTGCTCTTATCCAAGCCATCTGCTCTGTAGTCGAGCCGCGCACGGAGGCCGGGGTCTGGGTCTCCATAGCAACCCACGGGCCAGGGAGCCGGGCTCCCTCAGGCCCTGCACTGAGCAGTGGCGCCGGAGGAAGGACCCCCCAAGGGCTCCCGAAGATGCGTGGCCCCCGGGACCCCTGCCCGCTGGCCAGACAGCGGCACAGAACGCAGCCTGGGGGCGGCTCCGGGGACTCTGGACGCCCAAGCCCCGTCTGCGAGTCGCGCGCAGATTGTGGGATGCGCCGGGCGCGAGGTCCTCTGGGCTCTGGCCGGGCTGTCCCCCGCGTGGCCTCGAGGCTCTAGTCACTGCTCTGAAGGGTGACGACCAAGCCAGAGTCTGAAACTGGGATTCTAAATGAAAATGTGTTGAACACACATTAAAAAGTCTTCACTGGTTTTGGTTGAGCACAGAGGCGTCTGGCAACATGCTAATTGCGAAAGCGAAAACCCCAGTGTGTGAGCAGAGGGTTACATGAGAGCGGGTGGTCCCGCCAGCTCGGCTGCTTGACGCTCCCGCCTTCGAATGCGAGGGCAGACCGTGTGTGTGCATGTGTGTGCATGTGTGCACTTGTGTGTGTGCGTGTGTGTGTGCACGCATGTGTGCACTCATGTGCGCACGTGTGTGCGTGTGTGCATGTCTGCACTTGTGTGCATGTCTGCATTTGTGTGCGTGTGCGCACGTGTGCACTTGTGTGTGCATGTGTGCACTCGTGTGTGCGTGTGCGCGTTTGTGCGTGTGTGCATGTGTGCACTCGTGTGTGTGCGCGTGTGCACTTATGTGTGCACTCGTGTGTGCGTGTGTGCATGTGTGTGCGTCTGCACAGACCAGCTGCACTCTCCTGGCGACGCCCTGTCCCTCGCACCTCGGTTAGCCGGGCCCCTGTTGCACGGCAGGAGCCAGAGTTTCGTTGTCGCGATGGTGTTATTATGACAGTAACGCTACACGCGGTTTAGAATAAAACCCCCCGGGGGTCTGGAGCAGAAAGGAAGCTCTGCGCCCGCTGCCCACACCCAGGACCTGGACACCTGGGCTGCCCGGGGCCCAGGGCAGGAGCTGCCCTCGTCCCCACCCCGGCTTGGTCCCACAACTGGTCCTGCCACATCCTTCCCCAAAGGTGCTGTGTGCTCACACGAGCACAAGAAGCAAGTGAACATAAAGACTTTTAGTCTCTAGTACGAAATCCTGCTGTTTTAATGATTAAAACTAAAGCCGAAGCCAGACTCACCGTTCGGGGTCGTCGTCCTCACAGCAGCAGCCGAGAGGCCATCGCACCAGCGTCTGTGCTTCCGCTGGCGAGCGGGTCGGCGCCCTTGGGGCTGCCAGCGGGTGGCGCTGCAGCCCCTTGGCAGGCGAGCTCTGTGCCCCGGGCCTTCTCTGGACTCCGTTCCATTCCCCGGGGTCTCCTGTTCCCGCCGCGCACCTTCCGTCCCTCCTGGCGCTTACCTGGCGCTTACCTGGCGCTTACCTGGCGACTTGAGCTGGTCTTGGTAGTCGGGCGTGTAGGGGTCGATGGTCGACATCAGCACGTAGACGCACAAGGCGAAGATCCCGGTCATCACCACGTAGAAGGCCACGTAGTAGAGGCTGATCCACACTGCGGAGGGCGGCGCGGCGGTGTGAGTCGGGCACTGCTCAAGCACCCCGCCCACCATGCCGGCACGCTCAAATGTGCCAGTCGTGGCATTTACCACACTCCCACGTGCTGTGCCCATCACTCCCCCTGCTTCCAGAACATTCTCGTCCCCCGAATAGAAACCGGCCCCCAGGAACAGAGACTCCCCTCCCTCCACCCGGCAGCTGCGGGCCGACTTCTCTCTGTGGGTCTGCGTCCCGGGCATTCCACACAGGAGTCCTGGCCTCTGCCGTCAGCACCGCAGGGTAAGGACCCTCTGAGGGGGAGTTGCTGCTCCCCACGCGACAGGAAGGGAAACTGAGGCAGAGAGGCGCGGCCGACCCCAGCAGGTGCCTGTGCTCGAAGCGTCTCAGGTTTCTATCTGCAAGGCCCCCGCCGGGTGTGGTGGCCGAGGCCAGCGGGCTGACGCCTGCCCTGCGTCCTGGGAGGGCGGGAGAGGAGGCGGGTTCTCCCCAGGCACTCGGGCCTCGCGGGGGGCAGAGCGGGGGGCCACAGTCCCTCGTGAGAGCCACTCCTGGGCACGCGGTGGCTGCCTGGATTCTGTCTCATTCGTAAACTGGCTTGTACTGATCGCGGCAGCGTCTCTAGGGAGCAAGCTACCAGGAAGAGGACGGTTCTGCGCCTTCCTCCCCTCCCAGCGTGGCGCAGACTTTCTCTGCACGCCACTCTCCAATGATCCCACGCATCCACGGCGGGGCCAGGCTGCTCAGAGACCGGGAGGGCCGGGAGGCGCAGGCCCCCTCCTTCCAGCCACGACGTGGCAGGCCTCTGGGTCGGGCCCTGCCCCTGAAGCCCAGGCCCGAAGCCGCGGTCTCGGCGTGGTCACCGCCGCTGCGCCAGCGCCACGTCCTGCGCACACATGTGTTCACTCGAATCGATCGTGGCTCGCTGGCCTGGGGTCCCCAAGCTCGCAGCGAGGAGCCCGCAGAGGGGGACCCTGCCCCTCCTGGCCAAGCCCACCCCACAGGCCTCCACCTCAGACTCCCGGCAGGTCACCACCGACCCGCCTCCGGGGCAACCGCCACCCGCCTGGGACCAGGGCTGGACAAGGGGGGTCTCTCCCCGGGGAGGGCGTGGTGCCATCAGTGGGCGGCCACGCTGGGCTCTGCATGAATTTGGCAGCCCGATGCGGTGAGCTCACCCCACCTCACAGAGGAGGAAACTGAGGCCAAGAAGGCTGGGGTGACCCCGGCTCGGGCACCCGCTTTCTTCGGGGACGCTGCAGCTCACATGGGGAAGGAGCCGGGAAGAGGGGACACCCCACCCGCACGGCCAGCCTCCCGCCTGGAAGTGGGGTGCACGGCCCCGGCTTGCGGCTGTGGCAGGAGAGGTGGGCGCGTGGGGGGAGATGCAGCCACCCAGGGCTGGGCGTGATTACGTTTGTGTTCCCAAAGTGTGTTCCCTGGAACCCTGATGTCAGGCGTGTTGACAGACACACTTGGTGACACTGACTCGAGCGCGTGTCCTCCCCTCACTGCGGGGCCCGGGTCTCTGCAAGGGGCCCACAATAAGCAGCATTTTCAGGAATGTCTGGGATTGTATCACTTCCCATCTTAGTGTCCCGGATCGTGCTTTGAGAAACACTGGTCCAGACGGATTCGGATCCCAGGCTTTCCGCCTGCGCTGTCCTGCCGTGGCGTGGCTTCCCCCGTCTCCTGCCGCTGACACACGGCTCGCCCGGCGGTCGGCGCGGGTCACACAGCGGCGCGGGTCACACAGCAGCGCGGTCCCAGGCGAGCGCCCGCCCCCAGCCCCCCCCCCAACACGGGAGGAACCGCGGCCCGCTCCCTCAGCCGCTCTCATTTCTCTTGAACTGCGCTTTCCTCGGCCCCTGCGGTTCTCACCCAAACATGGCGGCCGCGTCTACCAGTTGGGCAGTGAGGCCGTTCCAGAAAGTTCTGTGGCATTGCGCCCACGAGGAGCACGCGGCGGCCCCTGCCCAGCCTCTGCCCTCAGCCCGGGTCCGTCCGCCCCAGGCTGGCGGGCCCCGTCCTTCCTCGCCGTCCGTTTTCTCCCGGGTCCTGTCATAGTCGGTGCCCGTCAGACGGTGCCAGTGATTCAGGGACCCGCGAGTCATCGCGCCCTGGGACGGCCAGACCCGGGGCCTCGCACCAGGTCCTCACGGGCAGGCGGGGCCCAGCCCCATCCCCATCCCCGCCCCGCGGAGGCTGCGGAGGGTCATTCGCCGCGTTCACAGACGCCGCTTGTTCCTGGATACGCGCCGCGTGAGGGCCTTTCCTGAGAGGGCAGGGGCAGCCGTGACTCCACCAGGACATTTCCGCCACCGCGGTGGCCTCACGGCGTCCGTTGCAGGGAGAAGGGCCCAGGCGACGGCGTGAGCTCCAGGGGGTGCAGGGGGGCTGCCTGGCGGGGAAGGGCTCCCAGCCTCACAGCGAGGCGGCCGGTGGATGTGGTCAGATGTGTCCGTGCGCCCCGGGCTATTTACCAAAGAACCACCCTCACCTCCTTTACGATTCTTTTAAAAAGTACTAGTTTTATCAGTATAGCCTTAAAAATGCTGCCCTCAAACGTGCCGCTGAGACTCTGGGGCCAAGCTCCGACGTTCCCCCTCGCAGGCATCCCGGGGTCGGATGCCGGGGCTGGCATGGGCCGGGGGCCCCCTGGGTGCCCTCCTTTCCCGCTGGGCCGGGGAGGCTGGCTGGAGTCTGTCCACGCGGGTCTGGGCAGGGCCTGGGGCCTCCATGGGGTCCCCCCCCACCCCAGACCCTCCTGGACGCGGAGTCCTCAGGGCAGCTGCGGGGCCACCAGCACTCACCCCACCGGGACAGGGTCCGGCCCAGCATCTGCCCGGTGTCCGGGTTCCAGCAGTAGTGCCGGAACTCCTCCATGCGCTGGCCACACGTCTTCTTCTCCTGCAGAGCTGCCATCCTGCCCCCGGCTCCGGCACAGACTGGGCCGAGAAACCCTCCCCTGCGCTTTATAGTTTCCTCCGTCGGGTCACGGGCATCTCGGTGTTAGCCCCGGGAAAGCCCCGAAGCCGCATTATCGCCCTCCCATCTCCTCTCCAAACGCAGGCCCGCCGGGCTGGCGCGGGCGGCTCTCAGCTGGTCTCGCTGCTCTTGGGACGCCCTTGGCTGGCAGCCCTGTCTGTTCTGTGCTTTCTCCTGCGGGTAGCAGGCGCGGCCTGTCCTCTGTCCTCCTTCAGGAGGTGGAAAGGGCGTGTGGGTCAGAGGTCAGAGTGGGAACAGGCGTGGACCCCGACCCTCACCACGCTGGGCCCAGGGTCCCTGTAGGCACCTTCCCTGCCATTGCCGTGTCGCCCACGGGGACAGTGTCCTCCCAGATCCATTGTTGGGGTGGGCTTGGGGCCCCTTTAGGATTTTTTGTGTCTACAGACGAATTCACAGCCCTAAAATCTAGACGTAGGGCACACGAGCGCCCCGGCCATCAGCTGACGCAGATTCGGACTCGGTGGGCCCTGGCGGGGCGGGGGGCAGTGGGGGTCCTATGTGGGTCCTGTGGGGGCCGCCCAGCCCCCAGGCACGTCCGTCGGGGAGGGTGTGTGAAAACCCCGGTGCCTGCTCCCCGAGGCCGCCCGAGTCCCTCTGCCGCATGGCCTGAGCATCGGCGGCTGCGAGCTCCCCAGACGATCTTAACCTGCAGCCACCGGCTCAGAGACGTCCTCTCTGGAAGCAGGTCTGTGTGGCTGATGCCTGTCACCTGCTGGCCGGAGCATCCGCCACGCAGGGCGCTGGATGGGGAATGCCCGGCCAATGCCACTGCTCAGGGGCCTTCTGAGAAATATCCAGGTCAAAGCCCGACTGAAATCAGGGCATCGTACGTGCGGAATTCGCCAGAATCCACCTGTGGTCTCAGGGACCCACACGGCCAGCCTAGTTCTCTGGGAAGAGGACTGCAGAACAGCCCTCCAGCTGGGATTCTGCCCTATTTATTTTTAGGGGAGTTCGTCTGCAAACAAGCCCCCTAATATTCAGATGGAACTGCGTCGCGTCAGTCAGGACTCCTGTAATTTCTCAGTGGAACAATCTGGAGTGTTTCCTCTAGCACTGAGCCGACCTCTGCCTGGAATTTTAGGACCACACAAACTCAGCATGTGGCAGCGGCCGTGGTCTGTGGGCCTGGGGCCCCCGAGTGCCAGGGTCTGGGGGTCGCTGTGTGCTCTCGAATGAGCAAAGTGAATTCTTTCTAAAGGTCTTTGAACTCAGTCTCCCCAGCTCAGCCTCAACGCCCAGAAGCAGGTACGCAGGTGCTGACCGCACACGTGTCACCTGATGACCTTCCTCCGGACTCGCACCTGCCGGGGGAGGGGCCGGAGGCTTGGTCACCCCACAGAACTGGGCTCCAGACAGTGGGGGGGGGGGTCACAGGCCGCCCCCACCTGGGTGTTGTCAGACACAGGCTCGTGGACAGGCAGGACTTTGACCCCCACACGGTGATAGCGAGGCCACCCCCATGGGTAGCTGGAGCTTCCACCACCTGCCTGCCAGCAAGGAGGACCCCACCAGCCCCCCACGTCCCCGTGGTGCTGACGAGGTGCTGGAGCGGAGCCAGAGAAAGTGAGAAAACACGGAAATGAACAGGCTTCAGTAGATAATCACTCATCGCGCAAAGAACCAGGAAGATTTGTCCCTGAATCGACACACGGGTTTAACGTGATTCCTGTTAAAATCCAAGCAGAGTTTTTGTAGATATAGACAAGATTATTACAAAATTTATATGGAAAGGCAAAGGAACTAAAACAGGTGACTATTTTCTATTTTGAACACAGGGTTTTTGGAAAACATGTTTTTAAAACCAAGAATGAAGTGGGAGACCTCGGTCTACACAATTCCAGAGCTTGGTGTGTAACTACAGAAACCAGGATTGTGGGTGCAGTAGAGGGAGAGACAGAGATCAAAGGAACAAGAGACAAGACCACAAGAAGAAACAGAACCACACAAACATGCATAACTGATCTCTGACAAGGACGCAAAAGAAATTCAGCGAAACAAAAACAGCCTTTTCAGCAAAGGGTCCTGGAGCAACTGCCATCCACGGGCAGAAAGGTGGACCCCAGCTCAGGCTCACACCTTACGCAAAAATCAGCTCAAGGTGGATCACGAACTTAAATGTAAAAGTATAAAAACTTTTGGGAAAAACACGGAAGACAAGATCCAAGACCGGGCAAGGAGTCCGCAGACGTGACGTCGGAAGGAAAGTCGAGAAGCGGCACTTCGACAAAATTAAACTGGGATCCACGAAAGCCTGTGCGGAGAAGAGGCAAAGCCGTGACTGGGAGAAGACGCTTGAAAACCACACGTCTGACGAAGGACTGTTGATCGTACCTGGGATATAGAAAGAACTCTCAAAACTCAATGGCGAAAGTCAATCCAGTGAGAACGTGGTCGGAGACACGAAGAGACACTCCACCCACGAGCACAAACGGACGGCAGGCAAACACGTGGACAGGTGTCCAGCACCGTCAGCCGTCGGGGAAGCGTAGGTTGGAGCCGTGAGGGGATCCCCCGCACACCCGTCAGGACAGCTGAAATACAGACAGTGGCAACGCCGGTCGTGGCGAGGGTGTGAGGAACCGAATCACTAATACGTGGCTGGTGGGAATGTCACGTGGTACAGCCACTCTGAAACCGGTTTGCACGTTTCTTTAAAGCCAAATACGCAGTTACAACATCACCCAGCAACGCACTCTTGGGCGTTCATCCCAGAGAAGTGGAGACGCATATTTCCACGAAAACCCACGCAAATACTTACAGCAGCTTTGTCCACGGTAGCTAAGAACCGCCAACAATCCAGGTGTCTTTCAGCAGGCGAGTGGTTGGCCAGACTGCGGCGTGTCCGTGCCGTGGACCACTGCTCAGCAACAAAAGGGAACGGACTATCGAGACGTGACCTGGCGGAATCTCCAGAGCATCATGCTGAGTGAGACATGCCAATCCCAGAAGGTCACGTGGCGTGTGATTCCGTGTCTGTAACACGCTTGCCATGGCAGAATCTGGCCGCGAGAGCAGCAAGGTCGCCAGGCAGGGGGTGGCGGGAGGGAGGGCACCGAGGGGCCTGCTGTGTCCACAGCGGTGCCTGGCTGAGGTGTTTGGCAAGACGTCACCATTGGGGAAACTGAGCTAAGCGTTCGCAGATCTCTCGGGACCATTTCGCACAACTGCATGTAAATCGACAATGATCACAAAACATAAAATTGAACTAAAAAAGGATTTCCAGAACCAAACTAATTTGGGGAACACGGCGTACTTTCCGTCTCTTCGAGAGCCGAGTTCACTCAGCATCTTGAACCAGTCCTGCGGTAGGAAGCAGCGAACTCGTTCAGCGGGATGCGTCCCAGCACAGCGCAGCGCGCAGCGGCCCCTGTAATCCAGCAGGACGGCGTCTTCCCCGGACCCCCCGCCTCCCACCGTCACCCGGGAGCTTGTTAGAGATGCAGAGTCTCGGCCCCGCCTGGTCCACTGATGCAGAATCGCTCTTGTGGCAAGATCCGGGTGCGCGGGCTGCACAGCGCCGTTTGCAGAGCGAGGCCGGACTCGCCGGGAACGTGAGCGGCGGCTGCCCCACTTCACGAAGCGCCATGGGAGCCACATCCCGGTGAACTCATGGGATGGGAGGCAGGGGGAGGTAAGGTGATTGGCCCAAGGTCACCTGCTGTTGAGTGGCAGGTCTCCTGGGGCATGGAGGGACATTGTTCTCCTCAAATATTTACTTGCTGGCACGCCTGCCAACGCCCTTGCCGGGAGGCGGCGGGAACCAGGGCTGCTCCGCCCGAAGGCCGGTCTGCACCTCCCGGTCGCTGCAGAAGACCCCGCACACCTGCGGCATCCCACGGCCCCTCCTCCACTGTGGCACGAGGTGGGCGGGCCCCCTCTCCCGCCACCCTTTGCTCCCTCCCTCTGTAAACTGTCACCAAGTTCCCACTCACTTCCTGGTCCTTCTTGCCCAGACCTTTATTGAGCACCTGCTGTGTGCCAGAACAAGACAGACAGGATCGAGCCCACACAAAGTTGCCATTCCTGTTAGTCCTATGTTCCCCAGGTATGTCCCAGGTGTCTCAGGCATATCCCAAGTGTGGCCCAGGTGTGTTCCAGGCATGTCTCAGGTGTGCCTTAGGTGCGACCCAGGTGTGTCCTAGGTGTCTCAGGTATGCCCCAGGTGTGTCTCAAATGTGTCTCACGCATGTCCCAGGGATGTCTCAGGTGTGCCCCAGGTGTGTCTAGGTGTGTCCAGATATACCCCAGCTATGCCCCAGGTGTGTCCTGGGTGTGCCCCAGGGTGTGTGGGGCGTGTCCCTCCTCCTCACAGGCCTGCCTCTATCTGGAGGGGGCTCAGCCGGGGTGTGGCTCTGGGGTCCTCTGGCCCCGGCCCTAAGGTCACCAGCACTGTTGCCTGGCAACCCCGCTTTGCCTACAAGCCACAGGTGCGAAGGAGTGAAATGATTCGGAGCCGATCCCGCAGCAGGTGCTGGCGGTCTCACTCCTGACACCCCAGGAGCCTGTTTGTGGTGGTTTTTTCTCTCTAAATTCCTATTTTCAGGTGGTTTCATCTCTCTCCTTATTTTCTCAGAGATAGCGAAGCAACACAGTCGGGAAACCTGCCGGCCACCTTCCGCCTGAGGGTTGACAGGCCCCCGAGCGCTGCGTGGCCCCGGAGTCTGGGCTTGTCCTGGGCGCGGGAAGAGGCAGACAGCGCAGGAGGAAGGGCAGCCAACGCCTGGCTAATCTGATCAGAGAGGCTCAGCGGATTGTCTTTTTCTGGCTCCTGCTCCTCACCCCTGCGCGTCCTCTGTGACCCGGGCCGGATTTAGCTGGTGCTGTGTCAGCCCCGGGCCCCCCGCGTCCTCGCCACGGGCAGGACGCCGCCCCTGTCCAGCCAGGGCAGGGACGGGCCAGGCCTGCTCTGGCCG